TGAATGTTTGGGTTTTGTGAGGGGAAAGTTGGTTTTGGGGGGTGAATGTTTGGGTTTGTGAGGGGAAAGTTGGTTCTGGGGGGTAAATGTTTGGGGTTTGTGAGGGGAAAAGGTGGTTTTGGGGGGTAAATGTTTTTGTGAGGAAAAGGGGGTCTTTTTAATAGGGAGAGGGGAGGGGAGAGGTGTTTCTGGGGGAAAGTGGGGTTTTGGGAGGGGAAATGGGAGGTTGGAGGAGGAGAAGGAGGAGGAGAAAGGGCAGGGGTGAAGGGAGGAGGGTGGTTGTTCTGCATGAGGAGGTTGGGGTTTGTGAGGGGAAAAGGTGGGTTTTGGGGGGTTAAATGTTGGGTTTGGGGGGTGAATGTTTGGGTTTGTGAGGGGAAAGTTGGTTTTGGGGGGTTAAATGTTGGTTTTGGGGGGTTAAATACTGGGTTTGTGATGGGAAAGTTGGTTTGGGGGGGTGAATGTTTGGGTTTGTGAGGGGAAAGTTGGTTTGGAGAGGGAAATGCTGGGGTTTGTGAGGGGAAAGTTCCTTTTGGGCAGTAAACGGGATTCGTGAGAGGAAAGTTGCTTTTGGGGGTAAATGTTTGGGTTTTGTGAAGGGAAAGTTGCTTTTGGGCAGTAAATGTTGGGGTTTGTGAGAGGAAAGTTGCTTTGGAGGGATAAATGTTTGGGTTTTGTGAGGGAAAAGTTGGTTTGGGGACAAAAATATTTAGGTTTGCGTGGGAAAAGTTGGGGTTTGTAAAAGGAAAGTTGATTTGGGTGGGGGAACATTGAGTTTTGTGAGGGAAAAATCGGTTTTAGGGAGGGAGAAGTTGCTTTTTGGAGGGGAAATGTTGCTGTGGAAGGGGGGGGATCGTGTTTTTGGAGGATAAAAGTTGTTTTCAGAGACAAGTTGGATTTGAGGGGGAGAGAGGAGAGATTCAGGAGGGGGCAAGTTGCTTACTGAGGGAGAGGAGTCAAGTTTTGGGAGGATAAAAGCTGTTTTGGGAGGATAAAAGCTGTTTTGGGGAGCAAAAGTTACATCGGGCGTTAAAGTTGCTTTTTTGGGCAGCAAGGTAACATTCAGAGGAGAAAAGTTGCTTGTTAGCAAGACAAGTCGTTTTTAGAAGAGGAAAGTGGATTTCATGGGGGAAGTCACTTATTTTCAGGGAGAAAGTTACTTTTTGGGAAGAGAAAAGTTGTCTTTGAGGCAGAAAAGCCACTTCCAGGGGGAGGAAAGTTGGTTTAGGGTGACAGAAGTTGCTTTTTAGGGATAAAAGGCCCTTTATTGGAAGAGAAAAGTTTATTTTGGGGGCTAAAAGTCACTTGTTTATGGGGAAAGAGAAGTCACTTCTTGGGGACAAGTTATTTTGTGGGAGGAGAAAAGTTGCTTTTTAGGGAGGAAAGTTACCTTTTTGAGGGGAAATTTAAGTTTTGGGGGAGAAAAATAACTTTTTGAGGGACAAAAGCCACTTTCGAGGGGATAAAAGTTGCTTTGAGGGGAGGAAAGACACTTTCTTGACAGGGAAGTCACTTTTTGGGGACAAAAGTCAGGTTTTTTTTGGGGGGGAGAAGCCACTCTTGGAGGGCAGCTCCTTTTTGGAGAGAACTTGCTTTTTTTTGGGAAGAAGTAACTATTTGGAAAAGAAGTTTTGGGGTGAAAAGTAAGTTTTTTGGGAGGGAGAAGTTGCTTTTTTTTGCGGAGGGGGGAGGTGTCATTCTTCAGAGAAGAACTTTTGGGGGGAGAAATTGCT